CCATCAAAGTCACCGATGTGAAACCTCCTCGGGATGCTGCTGGGGGCCAGGAGCGGCTGAGGGGGGCTGCTTGTCCCTAGCCCTGCAGTCCCCGGGGGCTGGACAGGGCGTCCTGCTGTTGCCGCTGTGCCAGCGCTGGGGCTGTTGCACTGGTGTGCTCAGAACATCTGATTTTCTCCCACTCCTTGGTTAATCACCGTGAGCACAACCTCCTGCTGCTGCTTTTTTCCCTGTGCGGTGCCGGACCGCGTGGCGCTGGGGCGCGTCTCGTCTCTGCTGTCCCTCTCGGATGCAGTACTTGCTCAGAAAGCGATGAGCTGCCTCTGCCCGGCGCTGGTCTCTCATCGCACCGTCTGCCGCTGCACCAGCTCCCTTTTGCACAGCTTTATGCCACGATTTCCACCGAGCAGACGGAGCAGCCGGGCAACCCCGTGAACCCCAGCTACTGGATTAAATAAATGTTTCTCATTTACTTCCCTCCTCCACCCCCTGCCCCAGCTATGGCAGAGCTTTTTGCTTTAGCACTCTAGGAGCATGAGATTGAATGTGCTTTCATCCTACATCAAATGAATCCTGCCTTGCTTGATGTTTACTTGGCTGCTTTTTATTAGGTCTTCCCTTCCTGAGCTCCTGGGGGGGTAAGCACAGAGATTTTTTTATCAGGCTTCCAGAATTTTGCACAGGGAGTCTGCAGCTTCACACTCCAGTGCTTCATATGTAAGAATTTAAACACTGGATCTCCCTCAGAGCACAAAACAGGAGCTCACATATCGTTTTTCAAAAGGCAAACTTGCTTGGCTCCTGGTAAGCAGCAGACACCTCAGCTTAGGTATGCAGTCTGAGGCACTGAATCCAGGCAAATATTGCTGGGAGCTCCCAGCCCTAATTACAGCTGAAATACCGTTTTGCTCCTACCAGGTCTATCCAGCCGTGACTGTCTGAATGGGAGAGCTCAGAGACTGCAGGAAGGATTTTAAAGTGTCTCCTTGAGACAAGAGGCAGAACCTGTATCAACAAGAGAGATGCTTTAAATCCTGAGGAGTGAAACTGGGGGTTTCTTTGCACTCTTTTGGAGGTTTAGGGTCCCTCTGGCTAAATCCCCAAGGAAGAATTCAGCTTTTGGATGGTAAAGGATGGAGCAATCTGAGCACTGGCTAAAACAAAGAATGAAAATAAGTACTATTCAACCACTGGCTGTTAAAGCTGCTTTGAAAATTTCATCTATTATTCATGTGGGCTAAAATTTGCCCCAAGGTGAGAGCTCGTTGAGAGGAGACTAGTTCACGATTCATTTGTCCTGCCCCCAGCACAAAAAGGCCCAGTTTGTGATGCTACCACAAGCAGCAGCCGCAATCCATACCCATTAAGTCCCGGGTAATGCCGAGCCAAAGAGCTGCAGCATCCAGGCAGCCCCTTTTGCGGGCCGCTCCGTAACTTGGGACGAGGGCTGCGAGACCTGGGGAGCAGGGCATCTGGTGAGAAGTGGCTGGTTGGGGAAGGGCCGACTCTGGGCTTGGTCTGGATTCACGTCCCAGCTTGGAAATGCTCAGCAGCCTCCTCCGAGTTGTGTTTGGAGAAGAACGCACCAGGGACATGTGTTCAGTGTGCAATTTTATGTGCCAACAAGTGTCCTTTTCTTGCTAATCTCAGTAGAACTGACTGAATAACTGGAGAGAATTTTTGCTTGTTATTGCACGAGTTCAAAATATGTCATTTGACAAACTGAAGGCTAGATCTTCACATTACAGTGCGTAGCCACGACTTTGAGACTTGATGTTACAGCAGCAGGAGCTAACATCTGGCTTGCTGCTCTGCAGCTGTGCTCTGCTTGCTACTCATGTGGGAAAGGGAAGTCTGTTTCAGTAGGAATAAGTTAGAAAAATGACAAAGGAAATGTCTTATGCTTCATAGCATCTCTGACACCCATCAGGTATTCATGTAACACATGGACGTTTCAGCGGCTGTCAATGTCTGTCATCACTACTGCTTCTTTTTTGTTTTATTTTTCTAAAGAACCACAGAAAAAAATATGAAAGCTGAGAGGGAAAAAGCTACAATGTTGTTCTCCTTTCTACTTTTTACATCTGTGTGTCACTGATTTCAAAAGCACTCTCATTTTAGTCACTATTTTCTTACTGCAGGCAATCAGAATTGATAAAAATATTGATCTTTTAGTGAGTTTTAAAAGAAAAAAACGACCATCAGAGTAGCGAGGTAGCATAGACTGATTGATGCGTCTTATTTTTTAACTGCTACTGATGTATCTTTCTGGAATTTGCTCTGTTATATTATTTCCCTTGCACAGACTGAAACTTCCTCATTGTGTTTTGTTGCTTGCAGTGAAGGTGCCTGCATTTCACCGGTGGTCACAGCCTGCATCTTCCTTTAACTTCTGCAGAGGTTGGCTTTCCAGCAGCCCCAGAGCAGGGGATGCTTGGAGGGGAGATGGCCTGAGCTGGTCTGGCAGTGACCTTGGGCTGGTGCTTGGCAGCGAGGAGGAGAGACCTGGGTGAGTCCTTCCTCTCCCCTGAGCCCCACAACAGGGCAGCTGTCAGCAAAGGATTCTCAGGCTGCTTTGTGCATCCTTGGCTGTTGCCTCACCCTTCCCACTGGCGCTCCCTAGTCCTCCAGCACCATCTACAGTCCTCTGTAGTCCGAGGAGATGCTCCAGTGCCACAAGGTACAGCCCAGACGTGACCAGGAGAGAGTCAGTTGCTGAGCCAAGGTTGTGATTAGGGGGATATTTGCAGCCTTGTCCGTTGCCTTTCAGCTGTCTGGCCTAATTGCTAAATGAGATAAGGGGCCCAGAGGAAAAAAAAATACCCAAGCCAAACAAAAAACTCCCTACTCCAGTTTTCACACCAGCTGAGTGGTTTCAAGGTGCCAGGGCCTCCGGGAATTGTAACCGGCATCTCAGCACAGGTTTTGAGCAGTGTTGCAGCATGCAGCTCCCGCGGTGCTGGTCTGTCTGTCTGCCCTCTGTGAGCTGACATCCACGCCTGCTGCTCTGCTCCGCTTAGATTTGTGGCACGACACACGTATTGCTCTTCATCGACAGCGCGAAACCTCAGCCTGAACCTGCAAGACAGGGCTATCATGAAAATTCATAGGAGTTTCCTTGAGTAAACAGCATTAAAAATTCGTGGATATTTTGAGTAACAAGCCATCAGCTGTATCTTTCAGGGATGGAGAAGCATGTAAATACTGAAAGTCTTTCTTTTACGAGACAGCTATTGAAGTCTGCTTCAGCTGCCTTTTGGTTTTGAGATGTGCTAAAATTGGTACTCAGTCTTATCTCTCCTGAAGGCTAGTTAGGCTTCTAACTCACTTAATTGGAGTAGGCTGTCGTAGTGTTCCTGGATGGGGTATAGACAGCCAGCGAAGCAGTCAGCGCAGCCGGTGAACTGCCTGTGCAGACAAGGCTGTGCGGTGTACTGGTACCCTGGGGCTCTGCGCAGGGACTCTGGCTGCTGCTGCCATGCCAGGAATCTCTGCAGGTGGTGATGGTCTCCGTGCATATCACTGCCTGGGTCTAATTTCCGTAGCAGCTTTTGAACTTGTATTCGGGTGTTGGGAATTTGACAACTTTTACAAACTTGGCCATGAGTCTGGAGTGCTTCTGTTCAGTAGTGTGTAGCAGGGGTGGTGAGCAGACTGCAGTCAGGGGTGGTCCCTAGTGCCAGGCAGGCAAGGGCAGGTTTATGCACGAGGAGAGTTGTGTTCCCCTGTGCTGTGCCCACAGGTGCTGGTGCTGCTCTGAGCTCAGCCTCTGCCTCCAGCTGGACGGGTTGGGGGGAGGGAGCCTGGGGATTGCTCCCTGCTAGGGCATCTGTATTCACCTCTGCTGTGGCTATTTCATCTGCAGCTGGGGCCTCCCAGAGCTTTGGCGTGGTTTCCCCCTCGCTTGCCCTGGCAATGAAATGAAGGCAATCCTGGTGCTGTCCCTGCCCAGTGCACTGTGCCAGCTGGGGCCTGGCAGCCCTCGTTGACCTCGGGTGCGACGACTGCAGTGGAGCATCTGCTGGCTCAGAGGGAAAGGAGCAGATGCAGCAGCACAAGTGATTTCTGTTCCTCATCTGCTCTGAGAGCTCTGCACTGGTAAGGAGAGCGTCTCATGCCCCAATGTGGGACAGCCGGTACCTAAGCCACGGGTTAGAAAGTCTAACCCTCCCACAGGGTGCCAGCCAGGCATCTTTCAGTGACAAGAAATTACATGGAAAATCAGAAGGCAGACTGAGAGCTGCTGTTTGACCTATATTGACCTTTGCATGCTGCAGCCAAAAGACCACAAGGAAAATCCAGCACCCAGGGAGGTGGGGCTGTTTCCCTGGAGGTCTCCACACACACAGGGTTGGGAGGACCTCGACCAACCCTTGCCGGCACATCCCTAAGGCAGCTTGCGGGCAGGAAAGTTGTCCTTCGCACATCACAGCTGGCAGGCGCTTGCCTTGAGATGCGAGGGTGATAAAGAGCAGCTGCAGGCTGTCTTTTCTGATCTTTTCCCAGCTTAGGACGTTTTGTTCCCCAAGATCTTGTCTCCCTGAGCGTAACCGCTAACGTGGAGCGGTTGGTTGGCAGCCTTCTGTCCGTCTCTCTGTGCCTCAGAGCCCACCGCTGGTGGGGCAGGTTGGCTGCTAGCCTGCAGCCCCCTGCTCACACCCACGGCCGGGGGGCTGCCGCTGCTCCTCAGCACCCCTTGGCATTTCTCATACAGTAGCAAAACAATGCCAGGGGGAAGGTGGCGGGGGGGGTCAGCAGATGGAAGACGGGTTTGAGTGCTGAAGCAACTCAACAGCTGCTGATCTCAGCGCAGCACCGGGGAGGGATTGGAGCGTTCCCCCTGGGGCTCCCCAGCCTCAGCAGCGTGCTCCTGGGAGCAGGGGGAGGGCTGCTGAGCCATCGCTCCCACCTGCTGCAAGGGCCCTGTCAGCGGGAGAGGGGGGAGCCCTGAAACAAGGAGTCCCTTCAGCTCGGAGTGCGCGCACGGCGTCGTGCCGGGAGCGTGCGGAGGGAAACCTGAGCTGGTTTGCAGGAGACTCGTGTGCTCGGCTCCCGTGGCTCAGTAGCAGCTGCCCGGCTCCTCGCTATCATGGTGAGAAGTTCTTCCTCGCCTTGCCCCCCTGCTGCAGCAGCCAGCCTGGGCAGCGGTGTCATCGCTTGCAGCTTGTCCCCTTCCACGGCACCTGGGCTTTGTTGCTGATCTGCTCCCCGGGACTCCTCTCCTTTCCCTAGAGCCCAGCCTCAGCTGAGCAGTTTCCTGACAACCCGCTTCGCGTTGAGGATGCTATGCAAAGCCACAATAGCCCGAGGGCAGAACCGAGGAGGGAAGCAAGGAGGACCCAGGCCTCCCCAGGACACGGTGGGTGAGCTATTTACGGGCTTTGGGACCAGGGAGGGGGCCTCTGAGTCTTGACCTCCAGCAGAATTCATGTCCTTAGCTCGCCTCCTCCTGGCACTGCAGGGAAAGGACCGTGTGAGTCCTGGAAACAGGTATTTAATGACCCAGGGGCTCGACAGTGCTGTGAGGGATGGGCGAGACCGTGTTAATCCTCTCTCCCGCTCTGTTTCTTAAAGATTCTGCTAATGCATCTCTCAAAACTGTCTGCACCATCAGGAGGTTGTTCCTGCTGCTCGGGGCTGCCGGGCTGCTGGCAGGGACAGCGGCTGGGGCATGGCTCCTAGGTCAGTGTCTCCTCCGGGACAGCCCTGCCGCTGCGGGCAGAGCCCAGTCGCCAAACTGGCGAGCGTGTTTGGGATGCGGGCAGCGTGGGTGGTGGTGTGGGGAGCTCCTTGGTCGGTGAGCTGTGGCTGGGGACGGGGGGATGTTGCTGGTGGTTGCTGTGGTCCTAGCAGCAAGCTGCAGCTGTGCCCATTGAGAGGCTCAGCACCTCTTCCAGTGGGCAGTGCGGGATTGTTCCCAGCACTGGACATCCTGGGATGCTGCCCAGGCTGTGTGAGTCCACCTCCTCCCCTTCTCTGTTTCCTGAAGTGAAGCACCTGAAGAAGCCTCAGCCAGACCAGGGCTTCTCCCCGCTGCAGGAGCCAGATGCGGTCCCAGCGTGCAGTGACGGTGAAGAGGAAGACCCTGTGGTCCGTGGGGCTCCCAGTAGAGGTTTACATCTTTGCTTGCTGCCACAGAGGATGGGGAGAGGGGTGTGCTCTGCAGGACAGTGCCTGCCAAGCCCAGCAAGAACAGAAAAGATGCTCTTTAGTAATAAATATGTGCTGGTGACCCTCTACCTTCTTTCAGCTGCGTTTTGTGATTGTTTCACTTAGCTTTCCAGTCATGCTACATTCCCCAGCATTATGGCTTCATTTCTTGGAGTGATCCTACAGCAAAGGAAACTCTTGCAGGACTCATTTGTATGTAGTCACTCAGCAGGGCGGTCATGTAGGCACTGAGAATATGCAAATAAGTTCATGCATAGTTTCTAATTGCTTCAAATGCTTTTTTTTCTGGGATTTTTTTGGGGGGGGGGTTTCAGTTTAGGTGTGCCTGACCGTCCACTGTGCTGGCCCTGCACAAAATGCTGTAAAGAAGGGAACTTGAAGGTTGTCCTTAATGGAATGACTTTAGTATCTTTCAGAATAAACATGGTAAGCTCCTTGCTGGAAGCGCGGGTAGAAGGCCATCCTGGCTGGCTCCTGACATGCCACGAGCTCTGGAGCCTCTCCCTGGGCACCCTGCTCTGCCGGCAGCTTGGCTATCTCAGGTGGGCATGGCCGAGGTGGCTGGTTTGACCCCTACTCTCCGTTTGCCGAGGGGGATAATCTTGGCAAAATCAGGTGCTTGAAGATTGGGAGGTTTGTCAGGGCAGCAGTTCCAGATCGTAGAGCTCCTTAGTGGATGCAGGGCAGAAAACAGGGCTCGGGCTGGTGTGGGGAGCTGCGAGAAGAGCTGTAGATTGTTTCTGCCCAGAAGGTTCACTCCTGCCTGCCAGAGCGGCAGGACCGTGGACCATTGTTCCCATGGCAGGGTTACGTTCCTGATCCCCTGGAAGGTCCCCAGCCCCTTCCTGGGACACTTACTGTTGTTCCTGCAGAATGACCCATCAGAAAGGAGTGAACCTGAAGGATGTCAAGGTGAATGACACGCAGGAGTTTCTTCAGGTGAGACCCCACCAGGAAGGCAGCCTGGAAGACATGTGGCAGGTCAGGTAAGGGCAACTCTGGGGGAAGCAGAGTTTGCTGGCGGGGCTGAAACAGAGGCCTTTTTTTCCAGGCTTAAGAACACAAAAAACTGTCCTGGGTTTGTGCAGTGAGCAGCCCCTTTGGGGACTGCTTCAGCTGCTCTGAAGCTCTCTGGTGCCCCAGTGATTTTGGGTCATGTGTATTCTGACTGAAGGCTTATTTCCTCCCAGGAGCAGCTGTGATTCAGGTCAAATTGTGGCTCTGAAATGCTCAGGTAAGTGCCTCTCTCCTCTTCTACGACCCCGAGATCTCCTCCTGCATCTAGCAGTGTCTTCGCTCCCGCTTCCCTTGCCCTCTGGCACCTGGAGCTTCTCCTAAGGCGTGCTCCCCGGCTGCCTTGCAGAGTGCGGGCTGCGCCCCGGCGCTGCACGGGTGGTTGGGGGGACGGACGTGCCGCCGGGCCGCTGGCCCTGGCAGGTCAGCGTGTACCACGGCTCCCAGCACCACTGCGGAGGCTCCGTGCTGGCACGGGAATGGATCGTGACGGCGGCTCACTGCGTGCACAGGTACCGCCGGGCTCTCCCGTGCCCAGCCTCGGAGGGGCTGTGTATCTGCTCTGACCCCCGGCTTTGATGTTTGTTGCCCTACAGTAAGCGGCACGCTGTATTTCTGTTCAGTTACAGGTGGCTTCAAGCCTCTGCCTGGCTGGTTTTCGCAGGCGTTATCACCCATGGCTCGATCAAGCAGGAGGCTGGAGTATCAGTAAAGAAAATAATTTACCACCCGCTTTATAATGACAGTAGCCTCGACTATGACATTGCTCTGATGAAGCTCCAAGTCCCTCTGAATTTCACAGGTAAGATGCTGTTGCGATGTGGTTGTGTCCTCCTCCCACCTGTGGAGTTGTCTGACTTGTCCCACGACTAACAGATGGCCAAATCCCAGCCTCTTCTGAACCTGCCGTGTCAGAGCAGCTCTCTATGGCTCTCCAGCCTGGCGCCTGGGAGGCAGCAGGCACAGCAGCACGGTGTTTTGAATTATGCCAGAGCTGTGAATTCCTGGGAAGGTGGCTGTGAGAGCAGAAGTCTCCAGAGCACCTGGCGCCAGAGCCTTTCACTTCAACGTGCCAGGCTGATAGCTCCGCAGCCCCTGCCTGGCTGCTCGTGCTCAGCACGGCCCAAAGCTGTCCCTGCTTGCCTGGCACTTACCCCTGTCGCCTTCCTACCAGATGCCATCCGTGCTGTGTGTCTGCCACCCTCCCACCAGGACCTCTTCCAGGGCACGCAGTGTTGGGTCTCCGGCTGGGGCTATACCAGCCCAGCCCAAGGTAAGCTCCCATCTTGCCCCGGCCACTCAGCACTGACTGGAGGCTTTCCCCTTGCTCCCCACTGGCCCTGTCCAGCCCCTTCCATGCCACGGGTGGTCTTGCAAATGCCCCTCCTGTCTTCATTCCGCCCCTGCTCCAGCAGCTCTGCACCTCACACCCACCGCTCCTGTGGGCCTGGCCATATTTGATCCAATAACGTAATCCTGTTTTTCACGTCTTCTGATTTCTCCATCTTGTGCCTGGGTCTGCCCCTCTTGCTCCCTGCAGATCTCGTTTCCCTCTTGGCTTCCGTTTCTCCCTCCGCAGCGCAGGTTACCGAGACGCTGAAGGAAGCACTCGTTCCCCTGATCGGTACCAGGAGGTGCAATAGCTCGTGCGTGTACGCAGGCGAGCTCACTGCCAGGATGCTCTGTGCCGGCTACCTGCATGGGAAAATAGATGCGTGCCAGGTAACGGGGGGGAGGGAGCGGTGCCGGCTGAGCACGCGTAGCAGGTGTGCAAGGGACGTTGTACGTCCCGGTTACGCTCCAGCGAACGCTGGGCTTTGTGGCGAGAGCCTGTAGTAAACCGTCTGTGCAGGGTAGCGCTGGGCCCGTCGCAGCGTGGAGCCTGCGGTGCCCTGCTGCATCGACGTCAGGCTGAGACCCGGCTGCCTTTCCAAAAGGCACACGGAAACCTTGCGGGGAGGCGCACGCTGCTGCTTGTACCTGCGTCTCGAGCTCCTTGCACGGCTGGTGGGAGAAGGCAGCCTGATCTGCAGCCCCACTGCCGGGGGGCAGAGCTGCCTCGCTAGCCCTTGCTCTGCCGCGCAGGGTGACAGCGGGGGCCCCCTCGTTTGCCAGGACGCCTTGGCGTGGCGCTTGGTCGGCATCGTGAGCTGGGGCCAGGGCTGCGCGGAACCCAACCACCCCGGGGTTTACACCAACGTGGCTCAGCTGCTGCCATGGATTCATCACATCACTGAGGTAAGCTGGAGCAAGCAAAGGCGCGTGTTCAGCCTCACCTACAGCCCTGCATGCCGCATAGACAAATCCCACTGCTAGCATCCCGGTTTAACTCTTCCCTTCACCACCCTATGCTCACCCTTGACACACGAACCTCTGGGACAACCTCTTTTATGGTACTGATTCTTAGGTTTTTGTGGGTTTTTTGACTAGATCTACTAGAAATAAGGCAAGGAGACTTCACAGAGCAACACTTTGCCTCTTCCACCTAGTAAGTGAAGAACGGGACTGATTTGTACTGTGTTACTATAACCCTAACAGAATCCCAGACAACACCAGCAAGCATGCTCAGTATAAATAGTTTATTAAAGAAAATAGCAAATGACATTTCTATGAACAGTCCATGAGAGAAGTGTTTGGTTGTTTTGTGTGTTGTGGTTTTTTGTTTGGTTTTTTTTTTTTCAAAATATGTGGGGTTTTTTTATTGTAAAGGGGAAGGGGATCCCATGAGATACAAGTGTTGTGGGAACACTCAGCCTTCAGATAAATTCCTTGGAGGGGAAGAAAAGAAAAAGCTGGTTTCAAGTGGCAGCCAGATTTCACTTCAGTATTTCCCTTCCTGGCTGCATTCCCATGTGCTGGACTCGGTCTAACTGCCAATCTGACAGCATTTGCCCCTGCCCTATGCCGGTCGAAGCCAGAAACAGAGGGGTCTCCTCAGCCCCTGCCACGGCTGTGCCCGACTGACCCGGCAGGCACAATGGCCATTCAGTTCTGGAATGACTTAGGTGCAACGTGAAAGCCAGCTGTGATTCAGGCCCTGCACAAATGCTTGGAAATGTCAACAGAAGTCAGACAAAAGTGCAAATGAAAAGGGCACAACAGTCGATAACACGTTAAAAAACTAAGCTCTGTCCTCAAAACTTGGAAGCACTACATGGTGTGAAATACTTTGTTCCATGTGTGCAACTGGCACATCTTGGCCTCTGGGCTATGTTTTAATGCTCTTGGTGAGCTTTTCAATTAAAATAAAAGTACATTTCTCAAAGTCTCAGACATAGTCTTTTGGAACTTAAAAGATAATGCTATGAGTGCACACTTCATTCCCTTTTTGTATTTATTTACATTTCTCACTGTATTCTTAAAGGGCAGAAAACTTACTGCCAGAAAACAACAGATGCCAGACCTACCTAATTCACACATAAAGGTAAAGGAAGGAGCCAAACTGGTTTCTACAGTTGGTAAAGTGAGATTGAAAAATTCCAAGTCAGTTTTAAGGTATCTTCCATGGGAAATAAAGCCATGAGGAATTTTGTCACTTGTGCAAAATCCAGTGACTTGATGAACAGTTCACTCGGAACGGGATCTCCTCTCCCCTCATCCCCCTAAATTTTCACTCTTGAGGTCTGCTCTTCAGGGAAACCTGAGGTGGCAAAGAGCAAGGTTTGGCACTTAAGCATTCTTAGAAGGATATCAAAAGCTATCAAAGTCTGTGGGTTTCATACGTAATTTGCAGGGCCAGAAGAGGTAAGACATAAAGGGGCTACGTGCCCCATGATGTAAAACTGCATAGATAAGATTTGCTATTGAGAAATACAAATCCCTTTATGGGATCCTTAAGTGAGCAAGCTTGAGATGATGTTATACAGTGCCTTGCTTGGGGCTCATCTGACAGAAGTATCTGCTCTCACAAAGAGATGTTGGATACAAGACTGGATTTATTTCCCTATGCCAGGCTTAACAGGAAGATGAAATCCTAGAGAATGGAAATTACCGAACCTCACAAAAAGCATCTCTTCTTCACCACGGCTGTATCCCCACCAGCTCATGAAGGAAAACATGGATCTGGGCAGAACGCCCTTGGGGGGAGCATGACAAAAGATCGAATTTTCAAGCCCA